TGTGTGTGTGTGTGTGTGTGTGTGTGTGTGTGTGTGTGTGTGTGCGCGCGCGCGCGCGCACGTGCGCCTATCTGTAAAATCCCCAAACCGGGAAACAGTGACAACCATGGTCACTAGGGGCCTACAAAATGCCCACCCTTCCCTTAGCTGATGTAGCTCCAGACAAGACCAAGTTCAGCCACTGGAAAATAAAATCCTTATTAGACGTAGGCCACTTGGGGACTTAAAATCCAAAAGAATCAACTTGCAAAAAGAGGTAAGTTAGAAAGTTTGGTTCACTCTGCAAAGTGCTACTGAAACATTTAGTTCATTTACTCTTTTACAGAAATTTAATGGTTTACAATGTGTTGAGTGCTCCCTGTGGCACCGGGAATTCAGAATTGAGATGGTTGTGATCCCACTGTAAGGCCCCCTCTGGCTGGTCCATGTAACTTACCTGGAACTAAATCTTTTACAAGGCAAGCTGCCAGAATAGAGAGAGGTACAGTGTTCTGTGGGATCACAGGAGAGTGCCTAGTACATTCTAAATGCTGCTAAATTCTCATCTTAAATTAGAAATTTTCTCTTATGAAGTCTCTATACATTGGACCTTGTGAATTTTGAGGTTGCCCTGGCTGAATTCAATTATCACCTTATTTGCAGAGTCTTTGTCACTTTTGTACCTGAGTTAAATCTCTTTTCTTGCTTCCCCTTGTTTCTAGGCCAGCAATAATATTTTTTACAGCTGATCTGTATAATATTTGGTGCATACATACCTTTCTGCCTCACTAAACTACTTAGCATAAGCTCTATGACTTATACACTGTGCTACGAAAAGAGCTAGCAGCAGGCCTAGGATATAATAAAGGTACAATAAATTTATCATGTATAATGTTTGTTGAACTGAATTTGAGAGTTGCCAAAACTTAAAGTAGGAGATGCATGGCTCAGGATATCCAGGGATCTAGAAATGAGGTTTTCTCTATTCAAACTTTGTTTGTGGGCCAAGAAGGGGAAATAAATCATATGATAAAGAAATAAATCATTTTTCATAAAACATTAGAACTATAAGGGAGATTTGAAGGGGACATGGCTTATCAAATTTCATTATTTTAAGATACAAATATAAATTTTAAAAGATATGAATAATTTACCTTAGATTTTCCCAAGAGTCTTCTTGTGAGAAGGTATACCATCTTTTAGAAAGAAAGAGCTCCGTTTTCTTCCACTTTAATAATGTAGATTCATCTTTGAACCTGAGCTAGACAATCTCTAGAAGAGTTATAGAAAAGTAAAATCAGTTACTTTGAGACATTTCTTCTATATCATGTAAAGGTGAGTTGTTGGAGATGGTGGAATTTTTTTTCTGAGTTTTTTATTCTTTTTCAGATCTTTGGTGCAACTATAGATTAAGATTTTTAACACCCAATATAAAAGAACTCAAATTCCAGATTGACTCTGATCTTGTCTAGTTCCTGGGTGGAGATATTTATTATTTCAAGGGAAGATTACCAGAAAGAGAAGAAAAAAGGAAATTTGATCAAAAGTGGCTGTTGTATTTTGGGGAAAATACTGAATTTGCTATTCTAGAATAAAACAGGAGTGTTTTTATTATTACGGGGTTGGATTTCTCTTCTTTTTTGAGATATAATTGACATAGAAAATTGTATTCATTTCAGGTGTACAAATAATGATTCAAAATTTATTTACATGTGCAGTGATCACCGCAATAAGTCTAGTTAATAGTTGTCACCTTAGAGTTACAGACTTTTTTTTGTGATGAGAATTTTTACAATCTACCGTCTTAACAACTCTCAATATACAGTGCACTGTTATTAACTATAGTCATCGTGCTACACATTACATCCCAGGATTTATTTATTTTATAAGTAGAAGTTTGTACCTTTTGACACCCTTCACCCTCTGCTTCTGGCAACCACCAATCTGTTCTCCCTTAGACTTCTCACCTTGATTAGGCTGAAAACAAAGAGAGCATTTTATATAACACCATCATGCTCCGAGATGATTGGATGAGAAATTCTGGCTTTCTAGCTAGTATCGTCAATGGAAATTTTAAGATAAATCAAAGTTTTCTAAATTATATTTCTTCATTAATTGAGAGAATAAGTAAAAGGAGTCATTTTTACTTAATATCTTAAGGTGTGTTTTTTTTTTGTTAGTAATAGGTATGACACTTGATTATAACTTGATTATAACCTAAGATTTGGGGCCCATACTTATAACCCTCTGACTTAATAATTGATTTTAATCCAGTCACTAAGATCTGTTTGCTTCCTTACCTTGTCAATAAAAAAGACATCAGTGTGCCTTTATTTTGGCTTAGAAGTAGGTGATAAAAATCCCTTCATTTTCACCCATTTAAATGGCTTTAGTCCCTACTCTTGGGGGAAAATATACAAAATTTAAAATTTTTAAGTGCTTGTAATACAAGAAAAAGGCTATAAGGATCAAACTGTTCCAAAAACAGAAGAGGAAGGAAAGCTCCCAAATTCATTCTATGAGACCAGCATTGCCCTAATACCCAAACCAGACAAGAAACTACAAAAAGCAAAAAAAGAAAGCTATAGGTCATTATCCCTAATAAACATAGCTACAGAAGTCCTCAATGAAGTTGTAGCAAACTGAACTCAACAATATTTTCCTTTATTTTATTTTATTTATTTGACAGGCAGAAATCACAAGTAGGCAGAGAGGCAGGCAGACAGGGTGGGGGGAAGCAGGCTCCCTGCTGAGCAGAGAGTCCGATGTGGGGCTCGATCCCAGGACCCAAGATCATGACCTGAGCCGAAGGCAGAGGCTTAACCCGCTGAGCCACCCAGGCGCCCCTGAACTCAACAATATTTTCAAAGGATCAAGTGGGATTTATTCTGAGAATACAAGAATAGTTCAATATTCATAAATCAATCAACTTGATAATCACATTAACAAAGTAAAAGATTAAAAAACATATGATCATCTCAAGAGATAAGAAAAAGTATGAGACAAAATTCAACATTCATTTGTGATAAAAACTCTCAACAGAATGGGTTTATAGGGAACATACTTCAACATAATAAAGGCCATATATGAAAAACCCACAGCTAATATCATACTCAATGGTGAAAACTGAAAGCTTTTCCTCTAACATCAAGAACAATAAAAGAATGTCTACTCTTAACACTTTTCTTCAACATAGTACTGGAAATCCTAGCCTCAACAGATAGGAAAGAAAAAGAAATAAAATGTATCCAAATCAGAAATGAAGATGTAAAACCATCACTATTTGCAGAGGACATGATGCTAGATATATACAAAACTCTAAAGACTCCACCAAAAAACTGATATAATAAATGAATTCAGTAAAGACGCAGGATATAAAAT